AATAGTTTCTGATTATCTTCTGTATTTCAATAGTGTCTTCTGTGATGTTTCCTTTTTCATCACGAATTTTAGTAATTTGAGTTTTCTCTCTCCTTCTCTTCATTAACGTGGCTAACGGTTTATTAATTTTATTTTATTTTTTCAAAGAACTATTTTTTTGTTTTTTCAGTTGTTTCTTTTGTTTTAATTTCATTGATTTCAGCTCTGATTTTGATTATATCCTGTCTTTTACTCCTTTTGATGTTGATTTGTTTTTCTAGAGCTTTGAGATGTACTGTTAGGTCATTTATTAAGAATATTTTTTTTAGTTGTAGATGGACCTTTATTTTATTTATTTATTTTTATGTGGTGCTGAGGATCGCACCCAGTTCCTCACCCATGCTAGGCAAATGCTCTAATACTGAGGTACAGCCCCAGCCCCTATTTGTTGACTTTTTATACTTTTGATGAATGAGCTCCATGCAATGAACTTTCCTCTTAGCTTTGCCTTCATAGTGTCCCAGAGATTTATTTGTTTATTTTTTGGTGGTGCTGGCGATTGGACCCAGGGCCTTGTGCATTCGAGGTAAGCACTCTACCAACTGAGCTATATCCCCAGCCCAAGATTTTGATGTTGTATTGGTGTTCTCATTTACCTCTAAGAATTTATCTCTTCCCTGATGTCTTCTGCTATCCATTGTTCATTCAAGAGTATGCTATTTAGTTTCTAAGTGTTGAGAGTGGCTTCTGTTTTTTATTTTATCATTAATTTCTAATTCCAGCTATTATGATCTGATAGAATACAGGGTAATATCTCTATTTTGTTGTATTTGGTGAGAGTTGCTTTGTGGCAAAACATATGGTCTATTTTATAGAAGGATCCATGTGCTGTTGAGAAGAATGTGTATTCACTTGATGATGGATGAGATACTCTATATATGTCTGTTAAGTCTAAATCATTGATTGTATTATTTAGCTCTATAGTTTCTTTGTTTAATTTTTGTTTGGAAGATCTATTTTATTTATGGTGTGGGGGGGTCAGTCTATTGTTAGAACATTAGGGGCTTTGTTCTCTGGGTTTTTCATGTTGTTTGTGTCTTATCTAGTGGTATGGATCTGAGGCGGTAGTTTCTACCCTATAGTCTTATAGTGTCCCTAAAGGCTTCCACTACCTCAGCTTTATTTAAGGGAGAGACCAATATTAACAGCACCAAATGCAAACAGTATACAACCTTAAACCAAATAACTCCTGTTAAGGAATCTACAGTTTTGTTACAATAAATAGAAACGATGTGTTCAGTTATTGTCTATAATATAATAACAGTAAGTTTGCCAAAAGGATTTATCGTTTCTAATGATGTTCAGTGAGGGAACACAAGTACTGTGAGATGTGATGTTTATGAGGGAGAAGGAGAGAAGATAGAGGAAAAAATTTATAGTAAGAGTGAGGGAGGAATTAATAGAGGTTGGCTGTTAGTATCAGAGAAATAAGAAAGAGAATCCAGGGAGACAGATAGGTGAGAGAAAAAATATATACAGATTAAAAAAAAGTAAAAATAAGGATACACAACAAAACTATAATATGCTATTCAGACATCCCATTTCAATATTGATGCATGAAAAATATTTGGATTCAAAGATGGTAGAGATATGAGAGAGAGGGCAAAGAAAAAAAAGGGAAATTCTCATTAGGAAATTGAATGATAGCTTCCATTGGCTTTCAAAAATTTTCTCAGCTTTCCTTCTTTACTGATAAGTGGGGTTGTCTGAAGATTGATGGTGGCTCTACTAGGTGCCAGACCAGTTGGGTGGGTGAGCCTATAGCAAGATGCTCTCACACTCTCTTCCAGTCTTCCCGCCCGTTGCAGTTATAGCTGGCTCTTTCTGTTGGGTGCTGGAGACAGTCCTGTTTTCTCCAGTTTCTCTAACCTGGGCCGCCCTGCTCCTGGAACTGCCCCTAGTCTCCTGCTTTCTACCAGCTTGCTAGATCCAGACTGGCCTAGATCTAGACTGGCCCGCACAAACCCAGCTGCAATCTGACAGACCTGGGCTTCAGATTCCCCAGGCTCTGCCTTGCTGCAATCCCCAGATTTCAATGCCTTTTTGACTTGCAGGGAGACCACTAGAGAGCTGCTCACACAAGGGGGAGACCTTGTAGAGAGGCAGCTAGATAGTGGCCACTAGCACACCTAGCAGGAAGACCTCAGGTACAACTAGATCTGCAGGTACCCCGACAGTATATCTCTAGGCCTTGGCTGGTGTCCCCAGACTGAGGTGGCTGCACCCGGAGGAGATGGCTGTGGAGGCAGCAAACCTGCAGGCCCTGGTTAGTGTTTCTCAAGATGGCAGTAGCCACGTGTAACCAAACCCACGGGTACTGTGACAATGGGCTAGTGGGCAGCAGGTGATCTGCTGGTGGCCTGTGGACAGTCTGCAGGCTATTGGTGGGTTATCTGCAGGTGGACATGGGCAGCGAGTGATGGGCAGGCAAGAGGTGGTAAAATGAGCAAATGGCAGACAGTAGGCAGCAGTCAGCAAGGGATCTGTGCTCAAAAGGCAGGTAATATGCTGGTAGACAGTAGGCTAATAGGGGATAAACAGCAGGGGAATCGGTGGGCATTTAGGGCTGCCTTGCAGAAAAACAGTAGTTGCTCTGCTTGAATCCTGAGTCTCAGAGCAATAAGCAATGCAGTCTCCCTCCAGTTCACCATCTTGGATCTCTCTAAAAATTTTATCTTTTGTAGAATAAAAACAGTAATAATACTTTTCTGATAGACTTGTGGTGAGAAGTATATGATATCATACATGTGAAGTGCTTGGGAGAGTGCCCAG